TAGGGCAGCTCCAAAGCTGGTCCACAAACTCTTCCAGAGAGCAAGGAAAGGAGAGTGGCTCGGTGTTTTTATGGCGGTTAGGGTACCAGGGTGGGTTGAGGGTGCCTGCGTGTGGGTCTGGGGTCATGTGGTTTGAACTTCCCACTGACACTGGAGTAGGAAGCGCCAGGCTTTCTAAGCGGCTTGTTCAGATGTGGGGGGAATGGGAGCAGGGAGGATGGACCTTGAGGATGTTATGGAGAAAGACAAATACTTATGATTTCACTCACATGTGGAATATTAATTGCAGAGCCAGCTGCCACCCTCTAGAGTCATAAACCCCCACCCCTGGGCTCTCTGGGTGCCTGGAGCCTAGCGACACCTTAACCCCACTCCCCACTGCAGGGCTCTTTGCATACCTGCATCTCTGCAGGATATAAAACTTCTTGATGTGTGTTTACCTTAACAAAACCCATCGCCCCAGGAGACAGCCCTTCCCGCGGACAGGTCTCACATCCTGCCCTTGTCAAACTGCTAAAACCTGTTGTTCAGAGAAGTCCCTGACAGATCTTACAACCAGTCAAGTGTCTGTGCACAAACTGATCATGCAGCCCCTACTCCTTGTGTGCACAGTGCCCTCCCCCTAGTGAAAGACCCTGCACGCCCACCCGCGGCACTCACACAGGCACCTCTCCCCTGTGTGGCCCAGTGTCACCCACATCAGCGTTAACTGTTAAACTTTCCTAAGCTCCTCTCAGTTTCTGCTAATTCTTTACCAACCCACGTTACCAGCCCGCTGCGTTGTGACCCACAACATTAAATCAATCAATCAATCAAAATGAACAAACCGGAGCAAACACATGGCTGCGAGAACAGAGTAGTCGTTACCAGAGAAGATGAGGTATCAGGAGGGGATGGTGGGTCAAGCAGGTGAACTCTGGTGACAGAGCAAGCTTAAATTTTGTGGTGAGCACACTGCACAGTATTCAGATGTCAAAATATAATATTGTATACATAAAGCTTATATCCTGTTATAAAGCCAAAAAAAGGCTGTCCGCAGTTGAATATCAATATAGAGACAGACTTTATTACACTTCCTTGTATATAAAAGGGAGGACACGCTGGCAGCTGATCAGTCGTACTTTCTCCCAGGAGAATATTGGGGTGATGGTCTCTTCCGTTTTGTAATCTCCCTGCCCTCTGCCCTCTGCAGCCTAAGCTGACAACGCTTTAGTTGAAACGACTTTCTCCAATACTTTGTGACCACACATGGATGTCATAGTGTTTCACTCCCTTTGACAAAGCTACACTCGCTGGTTTCTTTTGAAGTAAGAACTGCTCTACTGAGGTTCCTGATGAGATACGGAAGGGCAGCTCATGGACATTTCCTAGGGGCTCCGTGGACTGACTCATATGGTCTGCGAGCCACATCCTTGATGTCCTGAAAGTGCTAATTGTGTGAGATAACACTTCTGTGATCCCTTGAAATGGCTCAGGTTTTAACAACAAATTGTACAAGTCTTCAGTCCCATGCCCTGTGCTCAGAAGCCATTTTTAAAATTTAGGATTTTTTGTTTGCTTTTACCTTCTGATGGTTTCAGAAAATTTTCAAATTTTTCAAACACTGGAACCTTGTTTATCGGTTCTTTCCTTAATTTTTCTCCTGTTACATTTTACCCAAAGCAGTAAGAAGATTCTAGGCACCCTTTCAACATTTTGCCGGGAAATCTTATCGCTATAACCAACTTTATCACAAGCTCTGCTTTCCATAAAACTGCAAGAGAGAATTTTATGAAGCTGCGTCTGTGTAACAAGACTGTCCCTCCCTCCAGTTTCCAGGAACAAATTCCTCTCATTCTTTCAAGCCCTCACTGTCCATTCCAGGTGATTTAGACTTTCCCTATCCAGCTCCTCAAAATTCTTGCCTTCCCTCAAACCCCACTTACAAAGACACCCCTGCCTTTTTAGGTTTTTATCCCAGCAGCGTTTCCCTAACAAGTAACAGTATTTGTGTTCTGGACACATTCCTGCATAATCGCCTGCAGCAAGCTCGGTGATCTAAGATAACACATCTTTGTTTCTTTATATTTTCAATGGATTAGGATTCTGGCTGCTTTGCAAGACACCAATCAAAGCATCAGAGGGGCTGCGGTCTCATCTGAATGTCTGATGGGGACAAACCTGCTGTCATGTGCACTCAGGTTTTTTGGGGATAATTTATTTCTTTGAGTCTGTTGTCTGGGAGTTTCTCTCCATTCTCATTCTCTGTTAAAGACATGAAGGTATCAAAAGACAAGGTGTAGCCTGGGATAGAATATTTGCACATGTCATATCTAATGGAGCACTGTGTCTTTTACACCCACCCACACACACATATATATTATACACATATAAACTCAATAATAATGAAACCAACAACCAACAGTTACTATAAGATATTGAAGATATAAGATACATAGTTCCCTGTGCCATACAGTATAAACTTGTTGTTTATCTATTTCATATATATTAGTTATAGCTGTAAATCTCAAACTCCCAATTTATCCCTTCCCACCCCTTTCCCTCCTGGTAACCATAAGTTTGTTTTCTATGTCTGTGAATCTGTTTCTGTTTTGTGAATAAGTTTGCTTGTCTGTTATTTTTTAGTTTCCACATATAAGTGATCTCATATGGTATTTTTCTTTCTCTTCCTGGCTTACTTCACTTAGAATGACCGTCTCCAGGTCCATCCATGTTGCTGCAAAAAAAAAGTGCATTTTAATTGGCATGTAAGTTTAAAATTTACTATGTGTAACTTACAAAGAAATTTAAAGTATTGTCAATTAATGGAAGCATCAATGTGATGTTATTCCTGAGCCAATTTAAAGAATACATTTTATCCTCATTCACCAACCAAGCTCCCTTGACAACTTCACCTCCAGGGCCAGCCTGGATGTGCGGAAATAATCTCAGTTAAATATTGGCAGGGGGTCTTTGTGGCCCCAACAGAGTCACTTGCTGGGTACAGACACTCTCATGCGTGTGGGTAACACAGATCAGAGAGAGGGACACGCGGACGATGATGGCAAATGATGTTAAGACAAAATAAATGTAGTTATGTCACCAATGTTATGATGATATTTGCACAATACTGTTAAACTTGGGCTACATTTGAAAAATAGTAAACTGAAACCTGTCAAGACGAGGGGCCAACTCATTCCTCCTAATAAGGCTGTTTGTAAATATCTAGCTGACTTTATTTTAACGATAAAATTTTAGTTATAAGAACTGGTTATCACAATTGTATGAATCTTCAAGGGAAGATGGTTGGGACGTAACCAGAGATCAGTGCTGATAGGGGTATTGTTACTCACAGGCTCTTGAAGTCGCTTTCCCCACTTCGGGATACTGTTGCAAACAACGCTGCAGGATCACAGGCTTTGTGAGCCAAGTTGTAAAGAAAACCTATAGAGCCTGCAGATGTAACAATGCGTTATGATGCCAAAATCACATAGGAGCAGCAAAATAGATTTTTTTAAAATATAATAGATTTGTACAATACTGCTCTCAAATATCTGACTGGAGGACAAATATCTGAAAGCCAAAACTTCAGAAATATGTGACTCTTTTTTTTGAAATATCAACAGGTCATCCTAAGACATTGCTTATTACTCTGTCATTGCTACTCAGAGTATATCAAATTCCTGCACAATCCTAATGAAAGGTGTCTGTCTTCACAGCTGTTTAGACCCACAAGAGTTCATACATCTGATGAAGGTGTGTTGAATACACGCATGGCAAAGAAAAGCACCCTGGGAACTCCCACAGTGTTCAGCGATGCCACACTCATAAAAAGTATGAAAACTTGCATGCACCAGGAGCATTTCCTATGACAAAATGACACAGCTAACGTCGACACGCACACGTGTACAATTACAACTAAAACTACCGAGTGGTGTAACTGTCAGAAGAAATGCCAGCAGATGCACCAAATAATCTCTTCAGGTCAGTTGCTGATTTAAGAATGAAATTGAGAGGACAGGCATTAGTGATTATATTGACAGACGTTTACTGTCCTTGATAACATCAGTTCAAAGGTTTAAAACTTTCAAACCCCTTAAAGAGGATTAAAAACACAGGAATCGATTAGGGAAGGCACACTACTGGAGTGCAATTGTGTGGACTTTGGAAAATTCAGAAAATAGCTTTTAACAAGTTTCTACACTTTACGTTAACAGATTTTTTTTTAATTATAAATTGGCGTAAGATTAGCTGTTTGGAGTGCAATGATGAAAGAGGTGAAATAATTCAAAGCAAATTATTCTGGGGCCAAAATTACTAAGTAGAATGTAGAAATGTGTGCAAAGTAGAAATGTGTGCAAAACAGGTTGAGAAAACTAAGAACGCCCCCTACTATCACGCACTTAGGAAGAGAACTAAATGCGTGGACGCATTCCCTTCGGTGTTACGACTGGAGCAATGCCACACGAGTGTACAGTGGGTTAAATAAATCTGCTCCCAACGTTTGCAGGTCCTCTGAAGTGTCTGGATTTTTCCAGGAGTCTGAGGTAGGGCACAGCAGTGTTCAGCTGTCCATTCTCTCATTCAATCCCTCCTACAAACATTCATTTTTCAACTTTTATTGGCCAGGTTCTGTGCTGTAGAATCAAAGAATGTTGACGAATACAAGTGTGAAGATTTAAGCAATTACTTAGATGAATAATGCTGTGTATTTACCAGTATCTTTAAGTCCCCAAAATCTCAACCGACTGAATTGTGGTTTTAGTTTTTATATAAAACAAGTGATGTGCATTGCTCTTTTATTTATAGAGCAAGATTATTCTTTAGGAATAGAGCACTGAAGAGAGATTCATGTGCCTCACATGTATCTAAGCACAGTAAATTGTGGGTTAGTATTTTAAAGCGTCTACAAGTATGTTACAAACTGGAAGAGGCTAACTTACTGGGGTAAGGTAGAGACTGAAAACATTTCTCTGATAACCTTTTGGCAAGGAGCTAAAACATATACAATTAAACTCATCTCAGAATTTTTTGAGGAACAATTTTCTCAGTGCTGCAATCACATCCGTGTTCCTCAGGGTGTAAATCATGGGATTAAACATGGGGGTCACTATGGTGTAGAAGAGAGAGAGCAGTTTGTCTGTTCCTGGAGAATGACTCGATTTTGGCCTTAAGTAGGTTATGGTTGCAGATCCAAAAAATAAAAGCACCACCAGCAGGTGGGAAGAACACGTGGAGAAGGCTTTGGCCCGACCTCTGGCTGTTGGCAGCCTCAGAAGGGCGGAAATGATTTTGCCGTAAGAGCCAAGTATCAACACGAATGGGACGGCAGCATCCAACAGAACCACTACACAGACGGACAGCTCATGCGCAGAAGTGTCTCCGCAGGCCAGCTTCAGAACGGGGGGTATGTCACAGAAGAAGTGGTCAATGCGGTTAGAATGACAGAAATGCAGAGAGAAAATCTGACACGTTTGCGCTATCTGCACCGGGACCCCACTGATCCAGGAGCCAACAGCCAGCCGGATGCACACCTTCTGGTTCATGACCAGGGCATAGTGCAGAGGGTTACAAACAGCCACGTAGCGGTCATAGGCCATCACGGCCAGCAGGAGACACTCAGTGGTTCCCAGCATAAGGAAGAAGCACATTTGCGTGGCACAGTCCAGCACAGAAATGCCTCTATCCTGAGTCCAAAGGTTCACCAGCATCCTAGGGAGAGTGACGGACACGTAACAGATTTCCAAGGAGGAAAAATTTGCCAGGAAAAAATACATGGGTTTCTGTAGTGCAGTGTCAATCCTAGTTATTACTATGATGAGGCCATTTCCACCTAAGACAATGATGTAAATGATGAAGAACACCCCAAACAGTAACCCTTGGAGGTTGGGAAGGTCAGAAAATCCCACGAGTACAAACTGTGTCACTGTGGAAATGTTGTCTTCTGCTTCCATTTCTTCACATCTCATCTGTGGGGATGATTTAATCAGAGGCACCATTATTTCACTTTCATTGGCTCTTCTTTTTCTATCTGTAAACAGGATGGGATGCCTTCTGATTTTTCAACTCCCTCTAAAAACCAAATCTATACTTCCAGGTCCTCTGAAAGTGTGGTGAAGTGTATTTTTCGTTATTATTAAATCTATCTATAAGAAAAACAATCCCTTTAATCTTTTACTTCTGCTACAGATTATAGTATTTCTTTGTTTCTGAAGATATGTGGTTGTAATGTGCTATTCATTTGAACGCTCCAACTGCAGTATCTGAGTTTATGTTAAATTATAAAAATCATTTCATACTTTCAGCTAAGTGTTTCTCCTTACCTCTCAATTCTCTTTTTACAATGATTAATTCAAAACTAATTAATCTGATTTCACAAGCAAATATTTTGTAAGCCATCTAAAGTAGTTTTAGGGGAGATAAAGTTAATTTCTAAAAGTTATTGTTTAACTGTGGTATTTCCAAAGTCCTATTTAGCTTTGACATTCTCCATATAAAATCAGCACTCAGAATTTTTACTCAGATTTTTTGGGGGAGGAAGAAAGAAACTCTAAAGTGACCTTCCTGTCCAGAAACACTCAAAAAGTAAGAGGCATGTTCATCAAGCAGTTATGTTCAAGAAAGCAATTCTAACTAGCATGTTCACTCCTCACCCACTTATTGTATGAAACACATCAATTGCAACTCATCTCTGAGAACTTTCTTAATTACCAATATCCTCAGTAATTGCTATTGTTCTTCTAAACCCATTTAATTCATTCATTCTTTTTTCTAGCACGTGTGTGTTTGAGTTCAGGCATGTGAATGTGGTGGGGTAAGATTGCCCATCTTCACTATATACTTTTTGTTATAAATAAATTATATGCTTCTTTTGCGACTCTAGCCATCTTTCTATGCACTGTGTAATATATTTGTTTCGCAAAATGGGATTTACTAACTTCTTGAATAAATTACAAGTGAATCAACTTGATTGCTTCTTTGAAATAGCCCCCAAGGTGTAAGAGAGGGTTCCTACCAAAATTTGAATCTCCTGTCCTGCTTCTTCCTCATATATATCAAGCATGCCTTCTGTGTTGTGTGTGTGTGTTTGTGTGTGTAGAATTTATACTCTTTTCACTCATTCTTTTGGAAGTAGCAAACTACTTCATTGTTTGCAGTGTGATGTACATAACTTTCAAGTTATGTGTTAACTAATTTGGAAGTCAATAGAGACTAGCCCCTGCAAGGAAGAGACACATCTAGCACCATATTCTAGGTCTAGGGGTGTTAAGTGAGGACAACGGTCAATGTTTCAGCTACAAAAATGTAGACACATGTGGGGCACAATTAACAGTTCATGCAAAACTTGGACATCCTGAGGATTCTCTGTGATTAAGAAAAATAAATTAAATAATAGTTTCCTTTACCATCTACAGCATTCCTGACTGCATATTAAGGTACTAAAGGCATTTGAACCTTGTTCCTTTTATTATATAATTTTTTTCAATGAAAATGGGATCATAAGAAATGTAAAAATGCTATAACTTAGTCTTTAAAATGGTCAGAAACTACTGGCTGATAGGTGACATTACCAAGATATGATATCATGTGTAGAATACACAATCATGTCTTCTTTTCTTATTTTTTTAACGTCTCATCCTGACACATTAACCATGTTTTGGTCACCTGTTTAATTCAATGTAGAGTGTAGTACTTGGGCACGGATTAAAATTGTTTGTTGAGTGAATCTCCAATCTTTTTAGACTGGCATGCGTGATTCACCGACATCTGATGATCTATTTACCTTCAGAAACTGCCATCTCCTTTATTCTCTTTATTGCGTGGGCTTTTCAGGTAAAGTTTTCTCTCAATCTTTGATTCTTTCTATATATTCCTTACTATGGGGAAGTACATTTGAAAGTCATACTAAAAGCAAGGTGCCAAAGAAAAAGCCAGAAAAAGTAAGAAAAGAGAACCTGATATCAAGACTGCAGTGTGCTACATTTGCTGAAATTTGGTTTCCCCCCCACTTTTTGTTTGTCAAATGGAAAAATGTTTTATGAATATTAAATGGAATTATCAGTGTAAAACCATGTGCAAAGTAATAAATACAGCTTTTCAAATCCTATCCAAATTGTACTTATCTTCCAAACTCAATCTCGCCTATAAAAATTTCCTCAAATCTTGCAACATATCCGTTGCTCTCCCTGACTTCTGGAATCGTTCAGGAGCTTCTATGTATACAACTCAGAAAGGGGAACACTAAATAATTTAGCTAAACATAGCCACTTTTGTTTTTAACTCAAATAATTTGTGATTATTTTTCTGAATTTTTTGATGAAAATAATGATTTTCTTTGGTGTGGGGATTATGATATGATATCAAGTATAGCATCTACATCACAATGTGTTTAATACTCTTTAGAGCAAGTTTATAAAATCAAGTTGAAGATAATAAAGAGGAATCTAAAATTGGTGAATGCAGTCCAGAAGCCATTTTCCCTTAGGAGAATTCTCTAAAGATGAAGATGAAAATATATCAGTATCTCTTTAATATATTCTGATTAATTTACCATAGAACTTTATTTTAACAAAGGATCTCTTTGATATTAGGAGAATGCAAATCCTTTTTAATAAAGTCCATTCACTATCTTACTCCTTAGTTACATGCAATTAATTTTTATGGGATATCCCCAGATTTAATACACGTAAACTACTCAAATATACGCTTAACACATAGTAATCACCTAAGATGATTGCGATGATGATGAAGAGGCTGGTAATCTTTAGTATACTGGTCCATTATACTACAAAGTATTTTTAAATGTCTCATTTGATAATATAATGCTGGTAATCAGAAAAATAAAAAGACTATCTGAGCCATGTTTTGAAATTAACCAATCATAAAAACAAAGGATTCTTTTAAAAATTCTCTGTAATGAGTGTCCTTTTGCTGGTGCTAAATATATACAGACATATGTCAAACTAAATTTGGTATTGGATAAAAATGAGTAATGCTTACTTGTTTGGATTGAAATTAAATATAATGCTTACCTTTACTGATTGAGTTAAAAGACAGAGAGAAAATGAGAAAGTTGTTGTTGGCTATTTTTTTTTTTGACAGTGAATTCACTTTTATTTGAAACAGAGGGTGACTGCCCTCTAAAATATGTTCTATTGTCATAACAGTTAGTGCTCTTCAATAGGGAACAGTTCTTACCCTTGGGATCAGCTCCTTCCCCAGGTCACTAATTGAACTAACCTTTCTGCCTGCCTCTCTGGGAGTTTGGTACAACAACCCAATGGACATACCACTCCTTCTCTAAATTCTCTCCATCTCTTTTTGTATTTTGTGATTATTAAGATATATAAGCATGTAAAATCCAAAATTTATAATTATATATTATTTAAGATATAAAATGAAGATGTTGTGAAAAAGATGCAAATGTTATCAGTGAATTTATTTTTAACAAAGTTACCAAGAAAATTTAACACAGAAAAAAATTGTCAACAAGCAAGCAGTGCTGGGGTGATAAGTAATATATATGCAAAATGTAATTTTTTAAACCACATCTCATGAAATACAGAAAATTAATACAATACAATTAATACAACCTTAATCACAGACCTAAATGTAATAGTTAAAATTATAAAGCTTTTAAAAGAAAACATTGAGAGAAACTTTCTGGTCATGGTTTAAAGCAAAGAATTTCAGATATACACCAAAAGCACAATCCATAAAACAAAATAAACATTAAATTGGACTTCATCAAAATTTAAGACTGTTGCATTCTAAACAAAACCATTCAGAAAATGAAAGACAAGCCACAGACAGAGAATATATTTGCATATCATTATGTTTGGTAAAGGTCTTGAATGCACATGTAAAGAAACCTTTAAACTCTATAGTAAAGGAAAATAACCCCATCAAAATATGCAAATATAGCTATTTGCATTTTGTATAGCTATTACACCAAAATATCATAAGCATATACAAAAATAATCAAAATATTAGCTCATTATGGAAAATCAAATTAAAACCACGATGAGATTTATCTTCACACCCACTAGCATGGCTGTAATAAAAAAGACAGAAAATAGCAAGAGTTGAGAAGCTGTGGAGAAATAGGAACTCTTATGCATTACTGATGGGAATGAGGACCTACGTCCACTAAAAATTTGTAAATGAAAACTCATAAAAACATTGCTAATAATAGCCCCAAACTGGAAATGATCCAGATGTCCCTCAAGTGACAAATAAATAAATTCATTGCTATATCCTATATCCATACTGTAGAATACCATTCACCAGCAAAAACTAATGAATTACAATGGAATACTACTCTGCCATAAAAAAGAATAAAATAATGCCATTTGCAGCAATAGGAATGGATCTGGGGATTGTCATTCTAAGTGAAGTGAGCCAGAAAGAGAAAGAAAAATATCATATCATTCACATGTAGAATCAAAAAAAAAAAGAACACAGTAATGAACTTATCTACAAAACAGAAACAGACTCATAGATATAGTCAAAGAAATGGTTATCAGGGGAAAGGAGGTGGGAAGGGATAAACTGGGAGTTTGAAATTTGCAAATACTAAATACTATATATAAAATAGATAAAAAACAAATTTCTTCTGTATAGCACAGGGAATTATATTTCAATATCTTGTAGTAACCTATAATGAAACAGAATAGGAAAACAAATATATGTATGTATATGTATGATTGAAACATCATTCTGTACATCAGAAATTGACACATTGTAACTGACTATACTTCAATTAAAAAACAAACAACAGCAACAAAAAAACTAATAAACTACAGACACATAACTGTACATGAAGGAACCTCAGACATGCTATGCAAATGAAAGAAATCAGATGCAAAACAATAAATATGGTATAATTCACTTTACATGAAATGTCCACAAAATGCAAATATATAGATAGAAAGAGATTAGTGCTTGCCCAGTGCTGGGGACAGAAAAG